GTTGAAATCACAATGTTTAACGTTCTGTTTTCTGCCTTCTATAATTTTCATGGCAGGTTACTAAGCGAAAAATAGCGGAGAGACAGGCGAAACGAAGGACCCGCATGGTGTGGTGGTGAACGCGTTACTCCCCGGAAAGGACAATAGCGCGTTCGTTCCCCACCATAGACACCTGCGGTCCAGAGTTTTGCAAATATCTCAGCAACGTTGTGGTTCATAAACAGAATTCGGCCATTGTACAATGACTTCGTAATCGAAGTTAAGGAAGGAATCGACAAGACATCATCTTGCTAAAATTAATTACAGCTCTCGCCGATTACGTCGCCTGAAAAATGGAACAGGACAATGTGGAAATAGAGGACGGCAGTTCGGACCTACCTCGCCTTCGCCTTACTTACGACATAGTTCTTATAGTATGATGCATTATTAAGATGGAACAAGTAGTGGTTGATTTTGACATCGGATGTGGAAAAATCCGTCTTCGGTTCAACTTAAAGCTAATGTTTGTACGAAAAGAATCCGCCTCAGATATTCCTTAATCCATCCCAGTTGTGCAAATCTCTTGTGGAAAGTCAGTATAATAAACGACTTGGCTACAGAACAATGCAGGAGGAAGACAGCGACATGTGGAGCAACCGAATTAGGAAGACTGCAAAAGAAAAAAAAACGAAGAGAATTCTTCCGTATACCGACTTTTTCTATTCCAAGATCATATTTTCCTTGAAACATATCCAAAAACCTAGGAGTTTCACTGGTATTTCAAAAAAGCTAGCGTTACTAAGTATGGCATGAGGAATCGATAGGAAACTTTCATGCCCTACAAGTGATAGAGGGTATCTAAGGTTCCGGACAACGTTGACGATCAACGATCAGGTATTTACATATGATTTCGAAAACCTTGTAGATCAGACACGTTGTGCATCACAACAGGTGGACAAGAGATGCCTGCGATTAGCTACTAGGGAATGTAGAGCTCACTGAAGGACTACCACCAACGCTATAATCGGATTTTGACACAAAAATCCTAGACGAGAGATGTAAAAAAGTTTTTGTTTCCACATAAAATTTACATAAGATTCGAACACCGTCGGTTTTCCAGGGTCTGGTAGCACACCACGCGTAACTCATATGTGCACTGCTTCATTTTCGCTTTAAATAAACTAAAACTTTGAATGTGACATAAATCATCCAAGAACGACTTCCAAATGACTTCTGCGATGATAAGTAAGCTACAGTGCTCCTGGCGAACAGACTAACAGAGTAAGCTGCACGGAAATTTGACCTTCTGCAGGACATCAAGAACACAGTGTAAGCTCACTAGTGCCTGCCTTATTTTCCACGAATTGATGAATTCTTAAGATATACGAGGAGCTTCGATTCTTTACTACGGCGTCATCAATGCGAGGTATTGTTTAGTAGCACTAATGGTGCTGAAAGGTAGACGCACAGACGGTGGCATCGGAACTAACGTGGTCCGCAGCGGATGCTGGGCCACAATTGAAACGACTTTTCAAGAACCATACTGCAACAACACAATACTTACTTGAAGGCACTCAATATACTGTCGCTGCGCTTCACGTACGTTCCCTTTGTTTGCCTCTTCACGAGCTCGATTCCGAATGGACAGGAACACATGCCATGATCGTGATTTGAAATCCTAGAATGATCGATATACGAGACAGGAAAATCTAAGCGACGGTGGAAACAGTAGTCGAAATATATGATCTCGTTAATAACCTAATAATTTGATTACTTTGTTACCTGAACAGGTTCACCATAAACGAGTAGTCGTGTCAACACACAAATGACGACGAAAATATTCACCGACCACACAAAACACGGCCGAATCACTTTCTTCTGCCACCATTCATCCGCTTTAAGGTAATTATCGAACATTTTTCCCCTCTGAAAGTGACCTCGTTGGGGACTTTGGTTTCTAAGCACTGGAAAAGTTGAATTCACAAGCACAGTTTAGAGTTCTTCACTATAGACTTATCACTGCTACAAAGTATGAAGGCGAACGCCATATTTCCCGCAAGCACAAGGCTACCAAAAATGGAAGCCGATAATAACAAACTCAGTACTCGTAAAAATGATAATACTAGCACCGAGTGCCAGAAATTACGGCCGCTCTGGCAATAACACGGTTACTAGCTAGTAAAAAAACTATCACATCTAACAGTTCTCTCAAAATGCACAAATCGAAAGAAATACGACACAACTGATCGATTTTTGCGTATGAGACCCGAAATTTGAGGAATAATTTTAGCCAAAAAATTCTTGACTTGCAGCGATAAGAAAGATGAAAACGAAATAAATTAGGTGCAACTGATCGTCAGCTTGTTAAGAATGGAATGAAGGTCTTGCCTCAATGAGAACCCGTCCTCCAGTCGGAGCCATCTCGTCGTAGTTGTCACTACCAACCGCCACTGTGGAGCCGGTCGACAGCAGACTCAACGGATTCCACATTAGCACTGCGAACATGATTGCAAAAATTGTCACTCGGCCCTTAACAGATGCATTTTGTTATGGCACTGATAACAAACAGATATGAATGGAACTTCATGGCCGGAGGCAAGTATGAACTTCGATGCTTGTAGTTAAGAAATTTTTGCTTACTAGGCTAATACATGCGAGAACACCGGGAATTGTCAAATCATCTCTTTCACGTAGTGAAGGTTGAGAAGAACCTCTACACCACTAGAACAAGAAAGCTTCTGTAATGAACAGAGACACCAAGAAGGAACTCGGATTACGGAATAAATAGAACCTCTTTTTGTAATAGAGTGAGCACTTTCCAAATCTTCTCAAAAGAAGAAAGACAACTTTGATAGAAGATAGCTCCTACATAATAATGATGGGCAAAAGAGCAAAATGAAATGTGGCATAACGTTTTAACTCCTTGATATGCTAAATCTCTGCATCACCCCACCCATTCTCCCAATGATCACCGAATAACTCAAGCCAGCACCAAAATAAACTTTTTTTTAAAAGAGATGAACAAGCGAACTTCGTAGGACGAGAAATGCGAAGTTTTTCTCGAAAGTTTGCAAAACTGTCTGAAAATCTGAATGATGCTGAGACATTTGCCAAACTCAGAAGCTTAGGTGAGCATTGAACCTTTGATCACGCACTCCGTGGGCCTACTGCACCATCGATTTCCTTGCTTTGCTTTTCTCTTTGCACAATTTTTTACTCTAACAGTGCTATCGGCAGTATGGAAGTAGGGACCAGTATCTCACACGTCCGACTTTCTATTAACCTCGGCATTGATTGAACAACTCTTTCTACTCCTGTTCAGCAAACGCGAGGTGTTATTATTCTTTATTCACGAATAAGCTGACGTTTCGGCTGATTTCGCCTTCCTCAGAGCCTGGAAAGGTCACGTTGACAGCAATCTATTCGGCCAGACACCTCCATAACCAAAGAAAGAAACTCTAAACCAAGATTTCAATCATATTGAACACAGCTTTGCACACTCCCCGCTTTCTATAAGGTTTCCACTAGGTATGTCACGTAGAGACCAACCGCACAGAAATCACATAAAAGCATAATGTGCCCCTCTCATCAGAATAGCAGTCTTGTACACTGCCCTATATCACGCGTGATAATGAGCACTTGGCTTTCGGTACCACTTCGTAATGTGGCCATTTTCTGACAGGTTAATTTGGACGTTCAGGAATGGAAGCCAGTTTTCTTTCGGTTTCTCTCGGGTGAACTTGATATACTCTGACTATTCGTTCAACAGCTCGAAACATTTGTCCATTTCCTTTTGCGTTGAGCAAAGGACAAAACAGTCATCTATATATCTACAGTAGAGTAGCGGCCCGAGATCAATCACCGATGCTTCCACCTTAGACATAAACGCAATGGCAAAACTTGGCGCCAGTCGCTGTCCCATTGCCAACCCTCTCATTTGTGCGTAATAGTTCCCGGAATATCCGAAGATTGAGCAGTTTAGGCACTCTTTTAAGAGTGTCATCAACTGCTAAATCGAAAAACCGAACATGTTTATTGCTCCTTCGTGTTGTATAAGGAGTTCGCATATGGCTTGTATTGCGGAGTCATTCGACACGTTTGTTTAAACGGCGGTAACGTCGAAAGACTCCATCACGTACGCGATGCTGGGCTGTGCAGTACGTAGACGATTCAGAAACATCTGGCTATTCGCAAGGTGGGCTGGAATGTGTTTCAACAACTGGTTAAATATTAGGGTTAAAAACCATGTTATCCTATCTGTTGGCCCGTCTACACAACTAATGATAGGTTTAACCTTAAACAGTGATGGATCGGTAAACGCAAGATCATCGCTGGATACTAACTTATGAATTTTTATAAGTACAAGACGGGGCATATCGATAAGTTAACTTTAAGTTGAGAGATAACTGATGGTTTTAAACCAGCAGCCCTTGCCACTTTGGCCCATTCGTAGTTCAATTTTCGGTATTTACTTTTAAACTCCTTCTCAGATGATGGGCGATAAATTGAAGCATCTTCAAGATGCTTTTTCGTTTTCTCAACATCTAACTGATAGGGAATTACGACAAACTCTCCACTCTTATCAGAATGCCTCATTATCACGCGTGATATTGGCCAGTATATAAATCTGTTATTCTGATGGGAGGAGCACATCACGCTTCCATGTGATTTATGTGCGGTTGGTCTTCACGTGACATACTCAGTGGAAGACCCATAGAAAACGGTGGGTGTGCGGAGCTGTGTTAAATGTGATTGAAATCTTGGTTTAGCGTTTTCTCTGTTTGGTTATGGAGGTGTTTGGTCGAATAGATTGTTGTCAACTTGACCTTTCCAGACTCTGAGGAAGGCGAAATCCGCCGAAACGTCAGCTTGTGAGTAAATAAAGAAATAAAATAGCACCTCGTGTTTGCTGAACAGAAGTAGAAAGAATAGGGACCAGTATGTTTGAAAATCCATTCGGTGGTTCCTCTGTTGTGGACTGACACCTTCGGAGACGAAATCGCTCACGGCCATTGCCTATTCGTTGATTTCATAACACATTGTATCACAAGGTCGATGTTAAAGCTGTATTTCCTTGCACAGTTACGATGACAATCAGCTAGAGTTCTCATGTAGAACAGGATTCTTAGGATTTTTGGAAAAAATCACTGAAAAAATCAAGGATGCATTCTTAGGATTTTTGGAAAAAATCACTAAAGAATCTTTCCATTTATGCCATTGCAACAAAGTTCATAAAATTTTCGAAATCAGAGATGATGTCATGTCTAGTTGTTCAAAACATTTTTCTAGCTCGAAGTCTTCGGACAGCTTTCAAAACGGAAAGATTAATGAATAAGAACAAAACTGTGAGCATAAACCATTTAAGAAGTTCTAGTGCTTTAGGGTTTTATATTACAAGGACGCATTTGGATGAATGAAAGATCAAAACATGGAATAATAAAAACCGTAGCTACTTCCTTAAAACAAACCTAGAAAACTTTGCATTGAAAGCGGAAAAACTCCAATGCTCAATTCACAGACTACTTTTATGATTCCAATGGCAAAACATGCACTTTACTAATTCATGGAAACGGTAATTCCCTGATATCAAAAAGATTCTAGAGATCGTGAAAAAAAACTATAAACTGGTTTCTGAACTGGTTTCCAACTTTTTGTTTACACATAGAGTTCAACATTTGTGGTCCTCCACTAATAGATAGAGAGTGAGAGGAAGGGGAGGCTGCAGTTCTGTTAACAAGTGTTGATGCCAATTCATTTCCTTTGTGGCCACTTATTTTCTAGTAAGGAAGACCCTGTGCAGTACTTTTTGCATTCATTCCACAACCTATCCGAAATAAATAATTCGGTTAGGCATCAGACCTGAAAGCCTGTTCTCTACACATAATAAATTGCAAAAAAAACTTTTTTCGGACGAGTTCACTTTGTCGTTCTCTTTTTTACAGCAATCTCGAGGCTGTTATTCAGCACACGTTTACTTCTTTACGTATATAACACGTCCAACACAACGGTAGCTGACGTTTCGGCAGTATCGCCTTCTTCAAAGCCTGGAAGGGTACACTGATATGTAATCTACTAGGTCAAACGCTTCAACAGCAAAACAGAAAAATGGAGATCTGAACAATAATTACACGATCATCGGCTTCTCGAAAAACCCAGTACTTTTTATTTGACTTCCACCAAGGAAGAACAGCTGCTTAGAGTCACATATGGTTGATTACTGCACCACCCTACATCAAAAATCACTTCTGAGATACGGGGCTAGATCACGCGTTATCTCAGGGCATTCTTCCCTGCTATTCATTCTTGGATTCTTGGCATTTACCCAAAAAGCCTCGAGAAATTTGCGCGTTGGTGTTTCAGTCTCCCGTGCGATGATAGCGATAGTGACTTTTACATCAAAATCGTCTCCGCTATGTTTTTGCATCGCTTGCGTGTCTAGTAAGGCACTTTGTCTTGCTTTTCGTTTGCCATCTAGGTTATTACGTGTTATTTTATACGGATATATAAGGTCCTGCCCGTTTCGCCAATATATTCGTCTCCGCAAATATTACAAGAAATCAAGTATATAGTACCTGAACTCATGCAGTCACCGCCCCTACCATAAGGGCAAATTACGCAATTTACTGTTTCACATAGACGGTCATACAGGCGGTTACGAACTAACTGGCGACGTAGAGTAACCGGTAGTATTTCAACTATCGCTACAGATTCCTCTAGATCTGCCCTTCTTAGGCATCGCTTCAACGCTACACTTATTTCAACGCTAATGAAGGAAAAGATAAACGGAATTTTGTTTCGGCCAAACCCTTCGTTTTGGGGCGTTGTTCTCCTTCTAAGCTTACCTCGTGGGGTTATTATTTCGTAGCCATTGGAGATGACTATCTTCCGAGTCAAGTTGCGCGATTCTTCTTTAGTTCCCTACTTGTGCACACAGAGGT